GGGGGGGGGGGGGAATGGCTGGTGCTCAAAGAAACTGGACAACCTTCACTGTAACTCGCACAAGGGCTGTGGGTCTAGACATCAGGAGCGACAACATATTTTGAGCCTCTACTGCCTGCAGAGCCCTGTGCTTGGCACACAGAAGGCAGGTAAAAAATGTGGTGCCAGCTTCTGGGCTCTCGAGTTCTCATTGGGATGGTTAGATTCTGCCTTCTTCAGCCACCCTTCAGCACTCCCTCCCACTGCTTCTCCCTGCCAGCTTCTCTTCCTTCCCTTTGAGTGCTTACTCTGTGTCCAGTCCTGCTTCCTTTACTTAATTCTTACACCGACCTGCTCTGTAGGGTTGCTTTTATTTTACAGATGTGGAAACTGAGGTATGGGGAGATGAAGTAACTTGCCCAGGGTTGTGTATTAGGATTTAAACCTAAACAGGTCAATCCTACCAAAGCCTGTATTTCCTTTTAAATTGTTACATAGTTCTAGAGGGCGGTAGATTTTTGTGTGTAAATAACTCTTGTGCATGATTAAAAAAGAAAAGAAAGAAAGGAAAAGATACAAACAGTTCAAAAGGACATACAAATGAAAAGTAAGTCTCCTTCTCAACCCAGTTCTCAGGCCCCTGTGTCCTCCCCAGAAGCTATCACTGTTACCAGCTCCCTGTGTTTGCCTTCAGATTCTTTGTATAAAAATGTGTGTGTGGGTATTATACTCGCCATTTTATGTCTTGCTTTTACCTGGTCTTCTTCAAGCTGGTTCCCATTTCAGCACTCCTCCTGTGTCCTGTTCTCAGCCACACGCTTCTGTGTGGCTGCACTGCCGTAGTGAACCAGGCCTCCACTGACCGGCATTTGGGTTCCATCCTTGGCTCCTCCAGACAGAGCTGCTGTAACCACCCTCTGCATGTAACTTTGGGCCCATGGCTGATTTACCCACAGGATGAATTCCTGGAAGTACATTTACTGTGTTAATGGCTCTGTGCATTTTACACTTTAGTGGATGTTGCCAAATTGTCCTCCAGAAAAAGAGGCCTGTGCTCTTTACCACATTGTTAATCTACCTTCCTTTAAAGTTGATTTTTTAAACTCACCTGCTGAGAACCCTTTGATGCTGCCACATACAAATGGGCATGTAGGTTCCACCTATCAGACCACATAGGTCTTCATATCAGGAGCTCCACCCACCAGGGTCCTGTACCCAGACCAGGCTCTGAGATTTCTGCAACACTCAGAGCAGCAGCGGAGACAAAGCTCAGAGCTGGTTCTTGGCTCTGGGCTTGGGTTTTGCAAGGTGTGTCTCTGCTGGCAGGGTCACCTCCTGGTGAAGGACCCTGTTGTTCCAGGCCTGAGACTCTTCTGGCCCCAGGCACTTTATGCGTTTGTGAACTGCTTGGCTCTCGTGTTTTGATGAATTGGTCTCTGGCATGAGACTGGTCAGTGTCCTCTCTGACCCCTGACTTTCTAGAAACGGCATCTATATTTAGTCTTCTTGCACCACCCCTACCCCCTTCCTGAGCAGGGGTATAATTGCCAACCGTCCAGAGGATGACAGGGTCCAGACTCAGAGCAGCAAAGACAACCAGCTCCCATGGAAACCCGAGGCCCTTGTTTCTCAAAACCGAACCAGCTCATAGGCAATTAGCATTGGGAAGCAGGGGGGACAGGGTGCACATCTCAGGACAAAGCACAGAAATAGGGCTGGTCAGTCTGGCTGCCCTGACTCCTCGTGGGCAGAGACCAGATGACAGCCACATGTGTGGAAGTGCCCTTAGAAGGCAGGAGAACAGGGAAGAGCTAGGCCTTGGACCCCACGGGACCTGTGTCCCAGCAAACAACCATGCTGGGAGACACCTGAAAGGCAACTTTGGGATCTGTACTCCAGGAAGGACCTGGGTCTGCCTGCTGGAGCTGGCAAGGAGCTTTCCATTCCCCAAACTCTTTCCATCCCCCTGCACTCCAGAGCCTGATGATGCTTTCCGTGATGTGTAAACTCCATCTCCCCAGCTACAGTTCCACGGCCTTTCCTCTGCTTCTGTGTTTAGAGGAAACTGGGAAGAGCTGCTTACTGTATTTTTTAATAATAATAATTTAAGAGCTTTATAAATTTATAGGTGAGTTTCTACATTGCTCAAATAATGTGGAAACGCACTGCAAGGTTGGTGGACTTTGGGACGAGGGGGGAAGGAAGGGTAAAGGGTGAAATGTGTAGGTGGCCTTCTCACCATGGGCGTGGCCCTGCTGTGAGATGATGTGCCTGGCCAGAGAATTTTAGCATTTCCCTTTTCTCACCACCCCCCCCCCATCTTCCTCTTCCTCTCTCCTTCTTCCTCCTTTCCCCTCAGCCCTCCTAGGCTGCATGCTACAGCTATCGAGCTGGAAGCGAGAGCTGCTTTCTCCACACAGCCAGGGCTGGCGAGATGCTTTGGCTCATGTGTCTGGAGGTGCCCTGTGTGTGCTCTCTTGGTGCCCGTGGCCCTGGAGGCTGGACAGGGAGAGCTCTGAGCCAGACAGGGCAGTGGGTGCGAGGACAGAGCAGCCCCTCAGCCCCCTGAGAAAATGCCCAGTTGTAAAAAAACAAAACAAAAAACCAACAAACAAAAAAAAACAAGGGGAATGAGAATTTGCTCTGCATTAAAAACTTCTGGTCTTTGAGTAGGTTTAGAGAATTATGGGCATTGTTGGGCCTGAGCATTTTGGTAACAGATGGAGCTTTGAGAACCACAAAGTGGAAAGGAGTAAAGGGGGGACCAAGCTGACGTCCCCAAGTGGAGAGATATACCCTGTGGGATGATAGCATGTCATTTCAGGGCAGCCCTAATAGTGCCCAAAATACTTCCACACTCCCCTGTCTCCAGAGAAAGCTGCAGGGAGGTATGGAGGCTCAAGGAGAAAGGCTTCCTATTTCCATAAAGGTGGGCAAAAGCCTGGTATACGGTTGCTCCCTGGGTAGTCACCGCAGGGGCAGGACACCTCCCAATAGCCTAGGCTACTCCACCTCCCTGGATAGCCTGGGTTGCCGGTTGGCCTCTTNGCAGGGGCAGGACACCTCCCAATAGCCTAGGCTACTCCACCTCCCTGGATAGCCTGGGTTGCCGGTTGGTAACCCAGCAGGTAATGAAGATTGTGACAGGAGGGGCCAGGGGCCAAAACCAACAGCAATTACTTCCTGGACCACGGTATTGTCCTTCACCTTGAACTGTGCTCATGGGCCAGGTGCCTGGAGCTGTTTGCCAGTGGGCTCAGCTTCATTAAGCACATTGGGTTTCTGGGGATGAAACAGAACCTTCAATACAGGAGGCTAAGACCTGAGCATCACATCCCTAATGATTCCAACTTGGGAGCCTTCACTTTTTGCTGAATCACCTCACTGATAAGATTCTTCACATCAGTGGTCCCTTCCATAAGACAAGGGGGTAGGCACACTAACGGTCTCTTGGGCCTCCTAAAGGTCTAGAGTCTGAGTACCTGTGACTCTAGCAGAGCTGTCCCCTAGTCTCTTCTCCTCTATCCCATGGGTCAAGTTGGTTTGGTCCCTATGTGTCCATGACGCCTGCTGACTGTGCTTGTGTGTTCTAGTGAATGTGAACAGCGAGTCACTTTTCACCAAGAAATGTAATGAGTGTGTGACATCTGGAGAAGATGATGTCACCAGCTCACTCTCAGAGAGGGACAAGTTCAGGCCTGAGCTTTGTTCTACAGCTTGGGCATCTCCACAGCTCCTTGGAGGATGCTGCTACTGAGGGAGAAATGATTCTGCCACCGTCTTTCCCCACCTGTCCTGCCACCTGTCCTGGGGCAGAAAAGTGGGGCCTCCCCTTGCTGGGGCTGGGGAGAGTGAGAAGAGCCTCTAAGACATGGGCAATGTGCAGATGCTCAGTGTCCCCTGTGGCATGGTTGGCAGCAGGAGAGGAAGCTGAATCCGGAGAATGAGCTTACACACAGACATATTTTCACATGGATGCCAGGCGCGTGTTGGCTCCTAGATGAGAACCTTCGCCAGTTTTCTGTTCTTATGGTACCTTTGCTTCCTTGCCATTCAGAAAGCCAAGGCCAGACCTTGGGGCTCCCATTTGCTCACCTGGCCTCTTCTCCTTCTGGGCAGATTATCTTGATGTCTAAAGCTGTGGTTGGGCCTTTTCTCCCTTCTCCCTGCACCTGTGCACATGCCTGTCCCTGGATCAGGGATGCCCTGGTCACAGATCTCTGAACTCTAGAAAGTTAAGGCTGAGAGTAGCATCCTCGCCTTTCATAATGGCTCAGGAAAAGCAGGGAGGGCTACCTTGCAGGTTTCAGTATTAAAAAATTTTTTTTACTAGGTTAATTCTCTCATATCTATCTTGTGTAATTAACAAAAAGGGTGGGAATAGAGTAGTGTAAAAGTAAACAAAAGCAATGATGGGAGCAGAGCTGGCAATGAAGAGGGAGGGCATGGTGGGCACACACAGCAGGGCGGGAGCGGTGTCGCTGAGAGTGACCCGGGGCTGGGCTGGGCCCCAGTCCTCTGGGGGAGAAATGTAGGTCTAGGGGCCTTGTGGGCAGGTCCCTGCAGTCATAGCAGCCAGGGCTGAGAGTTGGAAGGTGGGTGACCCAGCGGAGGGCATGTCCTCTCTTGGCAGGAGAAGCATGAAGCGGAAGGCTCTGTTCACCTGTCCCTTCAATGGGGACTGCCGCATCACCAAGGACAACCGCCGCCACTGCCAGGCATGCCGGCTCAAGCGCTGCGTGGACATCGGCATGATGAAGGAGTGTGAGTGTCCAGGGCCCAGGGCAGGGGGTTGGGATGGGACTGGGGGCAGAGGAGGCTCTGGCTGCTGTTTATGCAGGTTTGGCTAGAGAGGTGTGCCCAGTCTTCCCCTGTAGCTGCTGGCATCAGGGGGCTGTAGGACCTGTGTCTGGGCCTCAGAGGCCAGGAAGAGCCCCTCCAGTGAGGCTAGTGAGGAGGGAGAGGCTGGGCACTGCCTTCATGAGCCCCCAGGTCAGTCTTCCTCCAAGATGTGATCACCATGCTCACAGCTCCCTGGACCTGAGGAGAAGGAATGAGGCTTGAGAACCCCAGTGTACTTGGCCTTGGGAGAGGAGGTTGCTGTGGTTGGGGAGGGGAAGAGTAGGGGAGAGTGATGGGGAGAAAAAATGTTTAGAGCCTGGGTGGCATCTGAGATCTGCCTCACCCCCAGCCTTCCAGCCACTCTGGCCCTGGGAACAAATCTGAGGGCTGGTGTCCAGGGGATACTGTGTGGAAAAATTCATGAGGGGAAGCTCTGGACTCTCGATGACCCTCTAGATCCAGACGGGGAAAGAGGAGCGATCTTGTAGTACTTCCTGCCCAGTCTGGGGCTGGAGGAGAGGATCAGTGGGGCAGTCTCACATGTTCTGACCCATGGACTTTGCATCTGAGCTCTAGTACCAGTTACTTGGTAACCAGAGAAGCTATTGAATTGAGTAGATCCTGGGAGTGGCCAGCCAGGCCCTTCGGGGGCACTGGGGCAAGGGCACTGGACTGGCCTGGGCATGGGTGCCCCTCTGTACATCAGCCTCTGCTTTTCCTCTTGCTCACTCCTGTCTGCGGTCTGCACCCTGACCCCCTCCCTGGCCCTGGGACAGGGCCTAGGCCCTGCTAAGCTGTAGGCCTGAGGAGGCTGGGGAGGCATGCTCAGATGCAGACACTCCTGAAGGTCCTCCTGGCTGTGGGGCTATTTAGGGGGGGGGGCTGGGGGCAGGTATAAGCAAGATGTATCCAGAACAAGGGGAAAGTCACAGGACAGGGCTGAGGGGATGGGAAATTTCTTCTTGATGGGGAAAAACAATCTCTGTTGTTGGGAAACAGAAGCAGAATGGAGGCCCTCACCTGGGGCCCCCTCATCAGGCCTTGACAGGGTCCCCTCTTGTAGGTCTCGCCCCTCACTCCCGATCTCAGCTCCCCAGCCAACACTGGCAGCCCGGGAAGAAGTTTCCAGGCCGTGTTCCTCCTCGCCCCCACGGGAGCATGCAGGCCCTGGCACGCTAACTGCTCCATGCCCAGGCCCCTGCCCCGCCCGACTCCTGTGTTTATCCTGAAGCAGTGGAGGCTCCAGGCCTGGGTGCCTTCCGGGGCTTCTCACATGTTGGCTTAGTGCGGCCTGCTCTGCGTGAGAAGTGAGACACTGTGCTGGACACAAACCAGGTGCCGGGGGCACAGCTCCTGCCCCCACCCCCAGGAGCACGCAGCCTCCAAAGGGCAGGGAGCCCAGGTTCTAAGGCTCCAGCCAACCAAGAAGGGAACAGAGTAACACAGCTGTGATTCCTAAGGCTCTGCCACAGGAGTTCTGGTCAGGGCCAGCGTTGCTCATGTCCTGGAGGCCCCTGTCCTGTGTCTCAGGGGGAAGGAGATGTCCTATTAACTTGGAACAGAAAGAACACTTAGAAATCATCTGAGACCCAGAAAGGTAAAAATAATATCAGGATTGGAGTCAGAAAGCAAGTTGAAACTAGAACCCAGCCCTAGATCCCTCCTGGTCCCCACAGAGAACACTGCAGCCATGGTGACGAGCAGGCCTTGAGTGTGTCAGGTGGCCCCTGCCCCAGGAATACCACGTGGTGGGGGCCAGCCATCCAGAAGTGGATGCCACCCCAGCCCCAATCAGCTTTGTGCTTCAGCCACACCAACCCTAGCCTCTGTCCTCGCCAACGGAGCTCCATTTCCCCTGTTCTGCTCTATGCCCAGTGCAGCTTCATGCCCACCACTCTCTAGATGCCAGTACAGGGAGTTACACTGAGCTAGGGATGGGCCTCAGAGCTCCACTTAAATAGAAATCTTGGTCTAGCTCTAAGCTCTTAGTCCACTGCCTGGAAGGGAAGTCTTCCAGGGACAGGTGTGGTTCCCTGCCTTGGGTCGGCCCAACTTTGGGAGGCCTGCCAATGCGTCTGGGCCTGGAGCTCCCAGTCATATCCTTAGGATTGCTGTTCATTTATCCCCAGGGCTGGCTGTTGTCCCCAAGACCTAGCTTCCTAGAGACAAGTGAGTGTCAACATTTGTAAACCACAGGTCACCCAGGGCTACCTATGAAGGAACTATAAACCCCGGTCCCTTCTGATGGGGCAATTGAAGTGGCCCTTCCCTGGAGGAGATTGGGAAGGGGAAGGGGATGAGCCTGTGAACCAATCTTTACTGATCATCTACTGAGTGCCAGACATGTGTCAGACACATGCATTTTCTTGTTAAATTCTTACAATAATTCCAAAATATGTAAATACTTTTTAAGATTCAATAGATGAGGAAACTCAGGAGAATTAAAATAACATGGGCTCCAGCCCAGTACAGCCCCTCCGGTATCCCCAGTGGGCGAGAGCTCTTCCATTGTGCATTGCTGGGCACTGCCTATGGTCCTACCAGATGAGCTGAAGAGAACTTTGTCCCAATGAAGTCCCCCTTTCTCTCTCTTCAAGTCCTAGTTGACTTTATGTCCTTGGAACCCAAGAAATTTCATAGTTGAGATATTGCTTTTTGTAGACCAGTCCCACACAGAAGTACTTATTATGTTAACTTGTTTACCATTTTTACAATTGTACAATTTTCTACCCAGCATTAGCACAGAACCTGGCACAAAGTAGGTACTCAATAAATGTATTGAATGATTGAATGTTCTCCCCATTTGCTTCTTTGTATCACTACATCTCCCACTGTTTATATATCAGGAAGATGCTCCAAATCTGGTATTATCTATGTCATTCGTTTGGAAAACCTTTATGTCTACTTCTCTGATGTTATCCTGAGGCCACCAGTGACAATCTGAAATGTCTTTAAGTTGTTTGTGCTTTCAGATCTTGCCTTCCTAACTCAATTCTCTGGCATGGGAGTAACTTGCCCAAAGCCATTTTCTCATTCAGCAAGGAACTTAGGAGTGAGAAAAGCTGCTGGGAAGCCATATGGGTTTCACAAAGTTCATGTACAGCAGATTTTAAATAACGTTTGGTTCAGCGTTGTTTCATTATAACATTGATGAGATGCAGTAGGAGCTAACTCTTGCTTGCATCATTTAGCCTATGGTAAATTGTTTCTGTTATACGTTATTTTGCTTAACTTCATAGAACCTATCGACGATGTTCGGTAAGGACTTAAGTGTGCACAGCTCACGCACTTTATTCTTTGGAGAGCCCGTCAGATGCTTTTTCAGAGCCTATTTGCTCTTATTTAGGTCAGTGGCTCTTAACTTCAAAACATGTGTCCTCCTACATGATCATAATGATTTTTTTAGTAGCAATTCATTGAGAAAATGATAATCTCCTATGAAATTAATAACCCCTTTAAAGAAATTACTTATTTCATAAATTACAACAGCATCTGCATATGTGAGAGACTTATGACTTATTCAGTCCCCAGACAATGTGGCCTGGAGGGAGGCACATGGGTTGGTGGCCCCTGTTTGAACTCAGCAGATCCCAGCATTTCTTTCCCTGGGACAGCACACAGGGTGGTGGTTCCTATTTGACACAAGTGATCCAGAGGAACAATGTCCTAGGTTAGCATCAAATCTTCTTAACTTTGTCCTTTCAAAGTAAATCATTTACAAACTTTGCTACTTTATTTTTCACACTCTTCAGATGGATTGGAACATTTTGTGTGTTCAGTCCTGAGGATCCTACTGAACACTCATAGCTGATTCTAATCAGAGGCAGTATGAGGTCATGGTTAAAACCAGGGACTCTAGAATCACCCTGGCCTGACTGAATACCAGCTCCACCACTTGTTAGCTGTGTGACTTTGAGCAAGGTATATAGCCTCTGGGCCTCAGTTTCTTCGACTGCAAAATGGGGATAATAGCATCTGCCCTAGATGGTTGTTATGACTAAACCTATGTGAGAAGAAGCACTTAGAATTGTGCCCAATACATAAAAGCCTCTATATATTTTATCCATTTTTATTAACACTTTTTTATTGCATAAAACTTGGTTACCAGGATTTCCAGTTCTCAGCAGATTTGAAGTAACACTTCAGGGGCAGAAGGTACACTTTAGGGGCAGGCATCGGTAGGAAGAGACAATACATAGCTTACCAGAGAGAGGGAGACCGAAAGCCATGGGAAGTAGCACAAGAACTGAAAATTGTAGCATGCTGAGTCACGTCAAGTACAGGGACACAGCCCTTTAGAATTCTGAGGTCAACCTCGTTCCTGCAAAGTCTAGTAATTTTTCAGAACGATGCCTCTGAATCATCAAGGAAAGGTTACATGATGTTATAGGTGTTCTGTTACAAGGTATTCTGTGTTGAAAATATTTCAGTAACAGTTATTTAAATAAAAAGGTAAGCTTGGCTCAGTTATCTGATGGACTGGCATTCAGTGTGTGCTGTTGCTGACAGTGTAGGGTACATGCAGTGTTGGTGCATCTCTCATAGTCCTTTCCTGGGCCCAGGACAATGACTAACATATAATAGGTATAATCAGTGTTGATGTGTTGGGATCCAATACATCAGACTATTGAGCAAGTACCATGGCCAGAAAGCTCCACCGAGCTAGTCTTTATGAGGGAAACAGGAATTATAAGATGTGACCCCTTGCCTTAGTTGCCTATAGTTTCTGTGAAGGAGACCTTGAACTTCTTAGGCTCTCTCTATACAGGCAGTATACTAACTAACCATAAATAAATATACTAACCATAAATATTACAGAGTGGAAGGCAACTGGGTGCCAATGTATGTAGGAAAAACTAGACATACCACAGGATTAAGAAAGGAGAGCTCAGTATGTATCCAGGCAATCAAAAAAGGCTTCATGGTAAAAGAGAAACAGCTGTAAGTTGGGTGCTGAAAAATAGATAGAACTTGCACAGCTGCTGGGGAGAGAAGACCCAGCTGGACAGGCACCAGCAGGGATGAAAATGTGGTGGCAGGAGTGAGCAGGTCATGCTCACAGGTCAGCAGTTTCAACGTGACTAGAGCAGTAGCTGCATCCACAGGCCCTGGGAAATGAGGTTGGAGAGTTAGGAAGAAGTGAAATCATGAAGAGTTTTGATGTGGTAAGCAATAAGGATCCAGGAAAAGTTTCTGAGCAGGAGACACATCATAGAACTACAAGGCATGGTTCAAGCCTATGGGTGCCTGTGATGTGACTGTCAGAGCAGCCCCCTCTAGCTCCAGCCTCATCACCTCTCTGCCTACCCCTCGGGTGAGCAGGAAAGACCAGACACCTCATCTTGGGTTCTCCAGGCTAGAGCCTTACACCCAGCCCGGACTGGGATGCTCCCTGCTCCTTGCTCTCCCACTCCACTTGACCTCTTGGGGTCTGAGCAGACACCCTCTGTGGGAGGAGGGTTGGCTGCATTCAGGCAGGTGAGTCAGTAACCGGGCGTGGCCTCCTCCCTGTCCTCTTCGTATGGCTTCCTCAGCTGTGGAGGGAACTCACCATCTTTGGCTGCAGGTGTCCCTTTTCTGCTGTGCCTGAGGCTCTGGTTGCCCATTCCAACCCCCAGAGGCTCCTTCTCCTCCCTTACCAACTTCTTTCATCTTCCCCCCCACTTCAAGTGCCTGGGCCAATGGCCCTTTCTCGAAGCCCGGAACCCACCCACTCGGAGATTCTGGTTCCTTTCCCTGCTCTTGTGAAACTCCCCAGTTCTGTGGGCAGAGGCCCTGGCAACACCAGCACAGAGCAAGTAGCTACAGGCCAAGAGCCCCAGTGCCCACTCCTGCCGTCAGCTCTCAGCAAGCCCTGGCCAAGAGGTCTGTTTGCCTGGCTTCTGTGCCAGGCATCCCTGCTCCCAGCCCCGCCCTCCCAGACAGCTGCCCCAGCACCACCTGGAGCCCCTGCACAGCATGAAGGGGACGTAAAGTCTCCCCATCTTCAGACACCCGGATAGAGCTGGAGAGAACTCCCCAGATTAGAACTGTGAGGTGTGATCACTGGGGACTTGTAGGGGACTTGAAAACTTCCTTGGGCAGAAATTTTCAGACTGGACAGGCTGGGGGAGGTCTTGTTTTGCAGGGAACCAAAGATGAAAAGTCTTTCTCTGTTGGTGAGAATAGATCAGATGCCTGAGTTCCAAGTTGGATGTGGGAATATCCACATAGAGTGGTGTTCTCAGCATCTCCTAGCTTCCAACACTGTGACTGTCCCCACGGTGACTCATTCACACTCTCTTCCCCCTGGTGTCTCCCTCAGGATCAGGGAATATGGGGGGGCGGAGGGAGAAGAGGGAGAATGGATGTTGGATGAGCAGCGGCTTTGTGCTAGGATTGCATTGCGTTCAGTTCTCAAAGCAGTCCATCTTTCGAGGCAGATATTTTATTCTGCCACCCCACAGGGGCACACTCCATGGAGGAAGGAACAAAAAGGGGACCTTAGAGGAGATTACATGGCCCAAACTTGTCATTTCTAAGCGAGGGAACAAAAGCTCAGAGAGTTCAAACAGTGTGTCCAGATTCACACACCGTGTGGTGAGAGCCCAGCCTCCCCAGTGCCCAGGCCATCCACCTCTCAAACCCTCTTTTCCCTCCTCTCGGCACCTGCCTTTTCAACATAGAAAATCCATGAGTCCTGGCGGGGGGACAGTCCTCCCGCCTGTGCCTTAGCGACCCGAGGAGGGGTTCTTGGCGGAGCTACAGGCCCAGGCCCCCATGCCCTCTTCCCCGCAGTCATCCTGACAGACGAGGAGGTGCAGCGGAAGCGGGAGATGATTCTGAAGAGAAAGGAGGAGGAGGCGCTGAAGGACAGCCTGCGGCCCCGGCTGTCGGAGGAGCAGCAGCGCACCATCGCCATCCTGCTGGATGCCCACCACAAGACCTACGACCCCACCTACGCCGACTTCAGCCAGTTCCGGGTAGGCGGCCGCTGGCCTGAAGGACGGCCCGGGGCGCCTGGCACGGGGAGTGGGCCAGGGGCCAGGGGCCAGGGCATCCCGGCCAGTGGGGCGGGGACAGTGGGGCTGCTCTGGCCCATCGCTTTGGGGAGGCCTCCCTCCCCCACCGAACTTCCCTAAAGCCACTCCTGTCAGAGAGCAAGGCCAAGGTCAGAAGGGTGCCCTGAAGTGTGCGCTTCTGACCGCCGTCTTCCCTTCCAGCCTCCCGTGCGAGGGCGCGAGGGCGGAGGCAGCTACCTGGGGAGGCCGTCCTTGAGACACATGCCCAGCTTCTCGGCGGACTCCTCCTCCTCCTGCTCCGATCAGTACACCAGCTCCCCGGGTAAGTGGGGCTGCAGCCCCCTCCCTGCTGAGCTTGCCCACCTGCAGGTCCCAGGCTGCCAGCGGGAGGATGGCCCTGTCACACTGTGGGCCACATTGTGTCCTCAGAACACGTAGAACTCAGAAGAGGTAGAACTTGCCCCAGGGCCCGTGCTGGGAAGAGGCCTAGCTGAGGTCCCAGGCAAGGACTGTCTGCAGAGCCTCCCGCTCTTCCCTCCAAGCCAGGCTTCTGTCCCTGGCTCCCTCCCTGGGGGCCACCTGGTTCCTCTGAACGGTACTTTGAGCCTGGGCCTTATGGGGGTTTCTTTGTTTTGTGTTTCTGGTTTTATTTATTGAGATATGATTGACAGATAACATTGTATAAGTTTAAGGTGTACAACACAGTGACTTGATATATATATATATATATATATAATATATATTACAAAATGAACATTTATCACCTCACGTAGTTACAAAGATATTTTGTGTGATGAAAACTTTTAAGGTTTACTCTCTTAGCAATGTTCAAATATAGAAAACAGTACTGTTCACTATATTCATCAGAGCCTGAGCCTTTTGGAAGGTGAAATTTGGCGTGGAAGGGTCCCCTTGTAGCCCACTTTACCCCAGAGCCCCGGGGAACTGGTATGGCCCTAAAGGACCTGTCACCTCCAGCCCATCCTTGCTCTTCTTAAGTGCTCTTTATCTGTCTTCCTCTTTATCCTCCTGCAACGTCCCCTACTGGGTATTGAGCCCCAAAGCCGGGCATGCGCCCTGACTGGGAATTGAATGGACAACCTTTTGGTGCATGGGGCTACGCTCAACCAACTGAGCCACACTGGCCAGGGCTCTCCCTTTTTCTTTTTTAAACACATATGTATATTCAGAAATGGAAAAAAAAAAAA